TTTTGCTTCTTGATAACCAGTGCGGGGGATCAGCACCACAGTTTGTGACTGGTTGGGGAGTTTAACTTCAATGTTACCCACTAGTCTTGGGAGTATCTGCTCTCCCTTTTGCAGCCTACCCTGACCTTGGCATTTCCAGTGAGGGCTGCCCCAGGCACCCTGAGTCACATCTTGAAAAATTGGAGAGGGTTCAGAGAAGAGCCACAGGAATGATTAAAGAATTGGAAAACATGCCTCATAGTAACAGACTCAAGGAGCTCGAACTATTTAACTTATCAAAGAGAAGCTTAAGGGTGATTTGATCACAGTCTGTAAGTACCTCCATGGTGAACAGAAATTTGATAATAGAGGGTTCTTCAATCTAGAAGACAAAGGTATAGCAAGATCCAATGGCTGGAAGTTGAAGCTAGACAATTTCAGTCCAGAACTGGAGCACAAATTTTTGACAGTGAGAGTAACTAACCATTGGAACTATTTGCCAAGGATAGTAGTGGATTCTCCATCACTGGAAATGTTTAAATCAAGATTGGATGTTTTTCTGAAAAATATGCTCTAGTTCAATGACAGCTATTAGACTTGGATCAGGAATAAGTTCAGGGAAGTCCTAAGGCCTTTGTTACACAAGAGGACAGACTAGATGATCACAACAGTCTCTTCTGGCCTTATGTAATCTATGAACATCAGCCCTTTCCCCTCAACCTACACACACACATATGCGCATGTAAGGACAGGTCACATGAATATCCCAATCTGGGCTTGCAGTGGGCCCCACAAAACAGGTCAGAGATAAAGTTAACATCCCACCAAGGACAGGTGATAATGGCATCTAGGATCAGGACAGGTAGAGTAAACACTCCTCCCTAAATAGGAGGCGATCCCCCCACAGATCCAGGAAGGTAGCATGAGTATATAAAACCTCAGCTAACTGGCAACCCTCAGAGCAGGACATTCAGAGTGAATTCCTCATCCTGAACAGGCAGTGACCCCTCCAACCACAAACACACACACACACACACAGATTAGAACAAGGAAAGTGAATACATCACTATTTACAGGCAGTGAGCTGCCAGATCAGGAAAGCTAGAGTGAATATTCCATCCCAAAAATTGGTGGCCTAGGTCTGGAGACATTGACCTACATTCTCCAGAGTGATTAGTGATGTTGGGTGCCCAAACTTGAGACCCTAAAAGGAGCCTGGTTTTCCATGTCCCATTAAATTGTCTCAAGTTGAGCACCCACAAAATCCAGCATGCAAAATCACTAGACATTTTTGGGAAATGCAGGCCATAAATCACAGCAGATAACATCTAAAGCAAAAGGTGGAGAGGAGGGCATCCCACCAGGATAGTTGGTGACAACTGCAGCCCACATCAGACATCTGGGTACCTGGAGACTACTGTCATCCAGTGACTAGTTGAAGGCTGGAATATCTACAAGCCAGATTGCAGCCTCATCGCTCATGTGCGCACAGGCATATGTGTTCTTTAACCCTGCAACAGCTGTCTTCGTTTTGGGAGCTTGCAGATTTCTTAAGAGGAATAATAAAGAAGGAAAATATTGACTTAGTGAGGGCTGGTTTTGGGGTTTGTTTTTTTTTAATTCTGTTTTGTTTTTTCTAAACCACTCCAAAAACTAGGGAGGGAAGGGGGAGAAAGTTCTGGTGATGTCAGCTTCCATTGCCATGGAAACTGAACATTTTTAGTGACAACGAAGTCTTCTTCCTCGAGGGGCTGCATTGTGTGGGGAGAAAGGGCGAGCAGGGCAGGGGGCGGACAAGGGAATTCAGTTAACTAAAACTATAGCTTCTGGCTTTCTAAAGGTAGTGAAAAGAGAGCGAGAGAAAAAACGACCGAATGAATAAATTACTTGAACTAATGAACAAGTGAACCAAGTTTATGCAACCAAAACACCATTTGGGGTGATTATCAGCAAATGACTGTTCTTTTTGTTTTTGCCACATTTTTGGGGGATAAAGGATACTATTGTCGCAAATAGTCAGAGGGAGGTAATTTAAACCACCCGGGAATGCCCCGTAGGATAGTCTCCCCGGCTGTCTATTGTTCCTCTGCTTTTTCTGGCCACAGGGTGATCTTTTAATCCTGGGCTCTCGGTCTGGTGGACTGGGTGGGTGTTTGTTTTGGGGCAGGTGAGTTGTTCGTTTTTCCCTTGGTTTGAGGAGAGGAGCCTGATGGTGCCTAGTTCTATCATCTCCCCAATACCACACTTTCCTTCTTTGAGCCAAATTTGAGTCCTATTGAAGTCAATGGGAGCTCTGCCATGGAATTGATTTGGAATAGGACATGGCCCGCAGTACAGGGCAGGGGAGAGGAATGACTCGATTCTGATTTAGGATCTAGTTAAATGAGATAGGAGACACCAGAACCAGAAAACAAGCCCCTTCCAGTTCTGAATCTGAAACCATAACCAAACATGTCGGATTTGTACCCAGGAATTGATTTGAAATCTCCCATGAGATCAGAAGGGCATAGGGAGAACGTGACTCTTTCTTTTGGGAAGGCTACTCCCAGCAGCGCTGGACGCTCCCTAGAAGTGGGGGGGCCACCGGCTCCCAGACAGTGGCCACACCCCTTCCCCAAGGCTCCCCCCACCCTCTGCCCTTCCCCTAGGCCCTGCCACCACTCCGCTTCTCCCCCCCGAAGGTCCTGCCCTCACTCGCTCCTCTCTGCCCCCTCTCCCCCATCTCCTGCCCTTAAGGCAAGAAAAAAGGGGGAGGGCATAGCCCTCCCACTTTTAAAAGTGAGGACACCATGGCCAGGGGCACTGGAACAGGAGGGTGGGGGGAGGGAGAGGAGGGCCATGGCCCCATCACATACGAAGGGTTTCCTGCCTTAAGGGCAGGGCCGTGGGGAGGAGGGGCGCAGCGGGGGGCAGGGCCATGGTCCAGACACTGGTGGCCCCACCATTTCTAGGGAGCTTCTGGCATGCCTGCTCCCAGGGCACAAAGGTGGCGGGCTGGTGCACCTCCAAAGGAAGATGACCCGCATCCAGCATTTGCCCCCTGCCTGGCCAGCCTGTTTTATTTTGGGGAGGCTCTTCTACGTGCTGCCCGTGCAGAAGGGGTTCAGATTTGAGGTTCTAGTCTAGCATCTCTGGTGCTGGCGTTGGACATGGAAAGGTGAATGGCATTCCCTAATGGAATATGCCACTTAGCATCAGACGGGGAGAAGCCATCCATTTCCCAGTCTCCTCATTCCAAGTCAAGGAACTGGATTTCTGTGTCCACCTGGAATGGAGTCTTAATCCCGACCTGAATGACAGAGTGGTTCTGAGAGATCTTAACATGATCAGAGAAATACAACCAGCTCCAATACACTCCATTCAAATGCACTTATTGTCCTTTTGCAATTCAGAAATCTGAGCTTTGATATCCCTCCTTTAACATCACTTCTCATGCCACTACACTACCCCCTCCATACGCTCAGCTGTACCTCGCTGTTACAGAGGCTCAGAATCAGTACGCTGGGATGTGTAATGCAACATGATTCAGTTGTTTTAACTTATTTTCCATCGATTACCTCCTGCTCACCACAATGTGGGGCCAGTTTAATTAAAGATCCTAGCTACTGAAACACCAGGCTCAGGAATTGGAAGATGGGAATGCTCTTCCCATCTCACCCACGTTGCTTTCAGTGTTGAAACACAGGATCTTTCATTTTCTTCCATTCTCTTTTAGGTACAGGCCGATTTCCCCACTGGGCACCTACCTTCATCTCTCAGACAACAAATTAAATGAGTTTGAAGGTCTCAGTTTAGTGCATCAGGAAACAATTGTCCTCACACCCAAAGGGAAACATCTTTCAAGCCTTGTTGCAGACAGGTGTATTAAAAACAAATGTAAACGATGTTCCTATTATTCACCCTGGGGAACAGTTGTGTGGGGTAAGCTTGAACGGCTCTGCCAGCTCAACCAGTGATACTGAGTTCTAGATGACAATGAAAGCTGGCTATTCCCTGCAGGGAGGAAAAGGGAGGTGGGGATACCTCTAGAAAGGAGCTATTTGTGTTTTGTTCGCTGTAAAAAAAAAAAAAAAAAACAGACATATTTTCTTCTGTAAACAGCAAAATTTCTGCCATGGGGCAATTTGATTAAAAACAAGCTGCACTCACCAGTGCAAGGAGTGAAATTTCACCACACATTCAAGTGGCAATCCTTGTGGGCTTTTGGCTGTGCATGCGCAGAGGCTTGGGAAGTGGAAATCAGAGCTTCACCATAGCAACTTTGTTGTTAAAAATGCTCAAATGTCAACTTGTCCCTAAGGTGCTGTGGGGTGGACTGATGTGATGCAAAGGCAGAAACCCACAGTTTCTAAAAGGATGCTTTTAATCTTAAAGCTGAGCTAGTGGAAGCAGAGCTGTTGCACTGATTTGGGCCAAGGCAACACCTCATTGGCCCAATTATGTTAAAAAAAGGTTGCTGGGTTTCAGAGCCAGAGCTTCAGCTGATGTAAATCAGCTTAGCTCCCCTGCACTGAGGAAGTTACACCAATTCACAGAAGTGGAAGGTCTGGCCCTCATTGTCTACTTGTTTCTCCACAATCCTGCTGAACTGAGCACATGCGTGATTCCAGGTTCTCAGGGACGATGCCCACAAAGCAACACAGCCACAAACACCTCAGGTGGTTTTGTTCTCATTACAGCAGGGCAAATCAAGAGTAGCAATGTTCACTTCACCGGAATTGTGCTGGCCTTTCACTAAAGTAAATGGGAGCTGAATCTGTTCCTGTGCGTAAAAAAAAACCCAAGAACCTTCTATTCTCTTCCAGCACTTGCCACCAGGGCTTTGGAGCTGTGCTCTGGCTCCACTCCAGCTCCAGCTCCAGGCAAAAACCTGCAGCTCCACTGCTCCGGAGCTGCTCGGCGCTCCAGCTCCAGGCTACGCTCCCCTGCTTGCCACAACGCTGAGATGGGGACCATGTCCCAACTGCATGCAACACTCCAGCACTCCAACACTGTAAAAACACAGAAAACAGTTAACCTACCCAGCCATCACAATGAAGAAATCCAGGCGGTTCCAGGTGTCTCCAAGGTAACACTTCTTGCCAAAGATCCCAAGGGCCACCATCTTCAGCACCATCTCCATTGCAAAGAAGATGAAGATGAAATCATCAAATACCTGAAGGAGCCACAGGGAAAATGGAGGGTAAGTTTAACAAGTGCTCACTGCCCTTTTGGTCTATAGTTCAGAGTGTGTAGATGAATATAAATTTCAGTGTGCACAAAAATGAGTGACTGACAGTGCTGGACAGTGGAGGTGCTGGACAACTTGCCTCTGAACATGGCTGGATGAATAGGAATACATAGAGTATAAGTGAACTATCTGTATTCTTGTGCCAGAGACTACATTCAATCTCTCTCTCTCTGGCAAACTCTTGTGATTTTTTTAAAGCAAGCTAGTACGTTGCTATGGGTATCCTTGTTGAGAGAAATTTGAGGCTCCACTACACCATGTTTGTGGGGCCCCGCCCACTCCCATTTCACTTTATTTAAACAGACTTTACAGATGTTTGGGAGTGGGGCCCCGAGCTCAGGGCCCCAGTACAATTGTCCCCGATTTTCTTCCTCCCCCCCAATCAGCCCTGGTCCTTGCCACCCTTTTCCAGAAAAAGCTAAGTGCAGATGGAAGGGAAACGTCAGACATAACAATTAGAACACTGGCCTGAGCCTCAGCCAATGGTGCACCTTCTCCCATTAAGGGGCAGGAGACTGCTTACCTGCAAGATCTTGCACCGGTCATTGAGGCAGTCCATATCATCACAAGGCTGGTACATCCCCAGGGTAACACAGTTCAGTAGAATCACCATCATGCTGACACACTCGAACCAAGTGCAAAGGAAAATAAAGAGTCAAGGAAAACTCAGCTAGGGTCAACTGACCTAAAACTTGGGATGACAAAATAGACACCTTTAAAGAAAACAAAATTCCAGGTGATATAATAGCCAAGTCATCGATCCCTATATTTTCTGTCTCCATCCTTTACCCTCCTTCTCCCATTCCATTCCAGGAAAAAAACCAAGTTGAAACTCATTTTGGGGACAGATTCAAGTAACTCAAAGCATTGTGGGCTATTTATGCAAATTAACATCCATTGTTAAACACAGACACACACCAACTTCCTGTTTCAGTGGTTTGCTGAATTGTTACAACTTAAGTGTGATAGAAACAGATTTCCCATCATACCCTCCACTCAAAAGCTGCAAAGGTCTTCAGCATATGAGGAGCAGGTTCATCCAACACAATGGAGTGGAACCTAGAAGTAAGAGTCTCTCCTGGGGAGAGTACAACTTAAGGTTTCAAAGCCTAGAAATCATTTTCTCTCCTTGATAAGAACTTAGAAACATGGAACTGACATAATGGAACAGATCAATGGTCTATCTAATCTGTTATTCTGCCTCCAACAGTGATCAATGTTGGATAAAACTTCCATGATGTGCCTAATTGTGCTATACTATCACCACAGGGGAAAATTGTGTTCCTGACCCCAGCTGGTGATCAGTTTATGCCCAGAAGCATGAGGATTGATAGTCCTTGTAATTGTTTTCTTAGCTACATTGGTGTCCCTGCAGATGCTACACTTATTCATAAAAAATGTTGAATCCTTTGTTTAAACTAAGATATCTGCTTCAATAATAGCCAGCAGCAGTGAGTTACGCTGGCTAATTATACTTTACATTAAAAAGTGTTTCCTTCTATTTGTTTTTAATGAATTGTCTTTTAATTTTATCGAGTACTGCTCCATTTCTACATTAGGGGGCAGTGTAAACAGGAGTGCTTGAATGACCTTCTCTATACCCTTCAGAATTATATACCGCTCTCCTTTTATTCTTCTCCTTTCCCAACTAAACAGACTTAGGGCCTGGATTTCACTTGTACTAACCCTCCTTTATAGTGGGTGTCAATCCTTTAAGGGGATGTCTACACAACGAGAAAATCCCACAGCTGGCCTGTGCCAGCTGATTTGGGCTTAAGCTGCGAGGCTTTTTCATCGCTGTGTAGACTTATGGGCTCGGGCTGGAATCTGTGCTCTGGGACCTTCCCACCTCACAGAGTCCTAGAGCCTGGGGAATCCAGGGAAATCAGGGCCTCACTTGCCCATGGTGGTTCTCTGAAGTCCATCTGGGAGTAACAGGTTAATGGACAATTAGCAGTAGAGCAACTGCTTCCTATAAGGCTCGCTGACAGGAAAAAGAAAGTGCTGCTAGAGAGGAGAAGCTTGGCTTGTAACTAAAAGGCAACTGTGAGAGAGGCTGTTCCCAGGGAGGGAACAGATGCCTGAAAGGCAACCTGAAGGAGTGAGTGTTCTCCAGGCTGGAAGGGAGAAGAACAGATGTACCCGGAAGGCAAGGGCTTGAGATGGTTTCCAAAAGAGGAGCGCCTAAAGAAGAAACCAGAGTGTGATCCCACGTGGAGGGGGCAAGAGTTCAGAAGGAACTGGAGACTGTTTCTAAGAGTCAGGTTTACTTATGTCATTTTCTGTTATCAATAAATGAGGCTCTGAGGCATGCTTTAAAGGACAAAAGTCTGTTTTGTATTGGTTTGTACCTGAGAGATGGAAAACTGAGCCAGGATGCGCTGGTGACACCTTGCTCAGACTCCAAGGGGTGCAAGGACATGGGGCTACAGCATCAACAGGACCAAATAGTTTTCTTTTAACTACCAGAGCTGAAAAGTCCATTATTAAAGAGCAATCTCATGTCGTGGTGTCTCTCAGTCCTTACATAAGTGAACGCAAAATGGTGGCCTAGACTTCTGTCACGTCTCAAGAAGATTTCAAACCCTGTAGTTCGTTTTGTGGGGCTCTTCCTTGACTGACATGTGATAGTGAAGCACATCAAACCTGCACTCTTTGTGATGGAGGACTATGAATTCCCTTCCTTCTCCTCCACTGCCCTCACCAAAGAACAGGAGCAGCAGTCAGCTTCCTTTTGTCATGACATCAGACAAATGCTCAGCAAGGGCACTGGCTGAGCTGTGTCTCAATCATGCTCAAAGGCAGTTCAAAGCACACATTCCTCCTATGCTCCCTTGGGAGGCCAGCATAGAGTGACCAGATGTCCCGATTTTATAGGGACAGTCCCAATTTTTGGGTCATTTTCTTATACCGGCTCCTATTACCCCCCACCCCCATCCCAATTTTTCACACTTGCTGTCTGGTCACCCTAGGCCAGCACCAGGTTTAGTAGAAGGTAATGCACACAGGGCCCTATTTAGCTCCCTCCCTAAGCTTCACTTGGTCCCTTCCCCAGTTTTGCCCCCCACCATTCACTGGCTCCTGCCTGCCCACCCCTCACAGCCACATCAGGAAGGTCCTTTCTGCTTACTATTGTCTGAACAGATTCTTTTAGCACCAAGTTTTAAAACAAACTGCCTGCTTGCCAGGAAAATGTTATGAAGTATGAGAGAGATGAGGAAGAATAGGTAACCTCTTTTATCAGACCAGCTGCTGTTGGTGGAAGGTATGAGCTCTGTGAAGCTCAAAAGCTTGTCCCTTCCATCAACAGTAGCTGATCCAAAAAAATAAACTACCTATCCTACCTTGTCTCTCATATCCTGGAACCAACACTGCAAACATAAAGTATATGGACATGAATCAAATACACTCACCCTGTCAACTCTGAGTGTGTGTGTCTTTTATTCTCCCTATCACTTCTTTAAGGACCCGATCGAATGGAATGGAAAGATTCCCATTGATTCCAATGGGGTTTGCATCAGCCCTATTCTCTCCCATTTTTCTTTTTCTTCTTGTGCATCATCTTCCTACTCTCTTGACCCACCTTTGCTTTGAAAAGCACCCCTTTTCCTAACTGTGCAACATCTCCTTTCTTTGCCCCTCTCCTATCCCTGATTCCTCCATCCCTGTTCTCTGTTCCACCAATCCTCTCTTCCTATATTGGCATCTGTCCATTTCCTGGGTTAGTTCTCTCTCTCCCTCCCCTTGTTTCTAGGATAGTCTCCACTTCTCTTCCTACTCACCACCCTGGTGCATGGGCTATGCCTATCTTCACCCCCTGTGGAGGTGCTAAGATGGATCTAAGCCAGAGATGCCTTGTCCTGCATTTTGCCCCCAGTCTGCCCTTGCTGCAGACAGAAACAGTTTGTTATTGCTTTGTACTTTGTTGGAAGGAGGCGGTGAGGGTTGAAAGGGTTGTTTGTCATTCAGCTGCGTCTCCACAGTTTGCTGGTTCTCCCTCCATTTTCATGGCCTTGAAGACAACATGCTCCTGCATACACAAGGAAATGAGGACTTTTCTCATTTCTCATCTGCTAAACTATTCTCTACCAGGAACCCATTATGACACGTGTCTGTGTCGAACTGTAGGTTCCATTTTGTTTCAGGGGCTCTACTTTGTATTGTGACCTTCATGTTGTATTGCAACTTCCTTTGTGGATTAGAGGAGCCATTTTGTAAGAGGGGCTTAACATCTAGTGGAATGTCTTTGTCTGAGACGCTATGACAGAGCCAGCAATGTTGAATGACTCTCCCCTACGGGAACAATGGGTTTTCTCTGGGTAGGGCCATTGACTTTGAATGTCTCTCTATACAGAAGACAGGGAGAAGGAAGCTGGAGTTCAGAACTCTGCTGCCTGAAGCACATGCATAAAAGGGGGATAGAAACTGTTTTAAAAGAGGGGTTCTTTTCTAAGCACGAGGCCAGACACTGGTGACATGAAAGAAGACCAAGACCAGGCCAAAATGTCTGCCTGACTAGGACCAAACCCAGAGCTCATAGGATGGGTGAAATCAGACATGGGGGGGGTTGCATTCAGGAGTTTGTTTTGAATAGATCTGTAACTCTCTAGTGTGCTTTTGTTGAGCTTGTATTCCTTGCTTTCCTGCCACATTGTCCCTGAAGGATTTGACTAGAAACCAGAGCACCCACAACCAGGTGGACTCTGGGGTAAACATGTCTAAACAACAGAGGGATGCGACACCAGTTCTGGGGTGTAGGTAACTGGACTGCAGGGTCCCACTGCCCAACAAGTGTGGCGGACATGGGGCCTGCACCTGGGCATGTGCTTGAGAGAGACAGAGCTAGGAACAGTAATCAGTCACTACCCAGACCCAGGGCAGCTCAGAGGCACACAGGCCCAGGAGTTGGGTCCATTTACGACAGACTGGTGCCCATCCAGAAGAGAGGATAGGAATGAGTCATGACATCTGTCTCTGACCAGCTGATCTTGGGTGGTTCATGGGGGCATTTTGGAAGCAAGGGACATTATTTAACTGCATATATAGCATGAGTTTACAGCTGAACTGTCCCCTGCTCTCTACCTGCTAAGAGATGGAGTGTTCTCTCTGGCATGGGCATCCCTCTGGATAAGACTGGCTGAAAGGTAGATGACTACAGCACTAGAGGCTGGAACTGGGTGCTCTTGTTGTGGGGGTGTCAGCAGTAGTTTCACTAAAGGAATCAAAGGGAAGCCCCCTTTTGCCCCCACCATTTTGGCCAAGCTACTAGGAGCCACAAGCTTTGCTTTCAGCCAGGTCATTCTAATGAGACGGCTCTATATTGTTTTGACACCCGGTAAATGTTTGCTTGTACTTTTAAACAGAAGAATAGTGCCCTCCATTGGCAAGATGGGTTAATCACTGGTCCCACAATTGGACAGTTACATCTCTATAATGGTGTAAGAAGGCTGGTCCAGTGGTTAGGGTGCTAGCCTGATTCTGGGCAGACTTAGGTTGATTTCCCTGCTCTACCCCGGCCTTCCTCCTCTGACCTTGGGCAAATCATTTAGTTTCCCCTGTGCCTCAGTTCCCCAGCTGTAAAAGGGGATAATAGCACAGCCTTGCCTCACAGGGATGTTGTGAGGATAAACACAGA